CTGTATCAGTATTTATTTAACATGTGCTGCTTTTTAATTTCGTTGTGGGCTCCATGTGTGATGTTATGAGAAAGAATGGGCATGTCTTCCCACCCAGCTGCTCTGTAATATTTTTTTGTACCTGAGCCAGTGAAGTGCCAGTATTTTTCTGGCTTGTCTTCATATCCCTTCTTCTCCAACAACTTGGGAGTGATGTGAAAAAGAAGCAACACTGCTTTCTCAAACAAGACACATGCTGTTTTTATAGACTGGCAGTAGAGAATTTTTAGTTCTCTTTGCAACTTCCTTTCAGTAAATTCTGACCACTCCATTTGCCTCAATAAATAGAGAGGTGATGTATTCCCTGAAATGTGCAAACTCCTTAACTGTCCTTAACTGTGGAACTACATTTACCTCAAAAACTTGCCATGTAGTTGAGCTCCTTTGTCATCCTTGTCAGCACAAATTTCTTTTTGCGTGGCTCTGTGCTATACCCTCTCTGGATGAGGTTAAAGGCACTAGAAGTTTGGTGTGTCCCTTCAGTAGGGCTTGTCATATTCCCCAAGTTTACATTATTAATGCAGAAGGAGAGCCTTCCATGGAGGCAGTAAGTTTTTTTGTGTTGGTTTGGTTTGGGTTGGGGTTTTTTTCACCGGTGACTCAGTGAACAGCAGGGGCTGGAACTTAGGCCATCAATTTCACAGGCAATCAGGACTTTGCATTGCCTCAATGAACTTACATTTTGTGGACCTGGGCTAGGACCAGTAGGCAGCTCGTACCAGGCTTTCATTCTTTTAGCTATTGTGGGATTATTTCAGCTTTCTTGAAGTGGGCGAAATATCTCCTTCTTCACTGCGGCAGTCTGAAGTTCTCCCTCCAAAGCCATAAATCAACCTCCCCTGTGCTGTAACCTAAATGAGTTAAGACGTAATCAGGCTGGTAAAAGGGCAGAATGATTCACCTCATGTATTTCTTCTGTGCCTCGATAACAATCTAATAGTGTATCTGGAATATGATTTCCTTAACAGTGATTTTCCCAGTGTTTTTTTGTGTGATTTTCCCAGTTATGTCACACTACTATTACAGTTTAAATAGGCACTTCTGTGAGAATCAGCTCAAAGTTAAGATGTCCAGCGTGGCTGTCTAGACATGGGTGCCTGGAAGTGATCTGGTGCCTGAATTCCGTTATAGTCAGTGGAGATATAGGTCTCATTCGGTTGCCTACATATAGATGCCTAGTGCCACTTGAGAGGCTATAGAGCATCTATAAGGGTCTGCCAGATATGATACAGGACCTATAGAAGATACACACCTCCTGGAGCAGCAGTGGGAAGCCAAGTGGGACGCAGTGGGGCTTCTCAAATGGCACTAGCTCTGTAAGCTAGTAAATCAAGCCTATAGTCAATACAGTCAAAACAATCTCTTTCTCAACTTATCCTACCTACAACAGACATCTCTATTTCTTTAGCTGAGCAATGCTAGACTTCACTGACAGTAAGGACTAGCTCTCCACTGGCTGTAATGATTACCTAGACACTGAGCTCGTATGCAGACACTCAGAAACACCTGAATCTGTGAGCTAAATCCCTGCTCAATATCCATATGGTTGCATCTAATATAGATCTTCCTTTTGCCTAGCTAAACCTTAGCAATTCCTTAACTATTTCTTTGAGATACATAATAAGGTGAAGTGTCCCAAATATTACAGTGTCTCCTTCAAAACTGTAAAAGGACTTTGGACATATCTTAAGGTACAGTGGCAATGTCTTTGAAGTATCATAAAGGTTTAAAAGGATGGAATTTCAGCTCTGTTCCAGCTTCAGCTCTGCATAACTTAGAAACAAGTAGGAAATTCAATGAGGTATAAGTAGGTGTTCTCGGATCCTTCTGGGTTTGTGATCACATTGTACAGAATTATGAAGTTTTTAACTTACAGTATACAGTTATAAAAGCTCTCCCTAGCGATAGTCCCTATCCTCAGAAGAACTGTACTTGCTCACAAAGCATTCTGAAAGCAGATTCTGTTTCTCAGATCACATCCTGGAGGCCGCATTGCATCACATTGCAAAAGCTTGCAGGAAGGCTGTGTCCTGCCTCCTTGTGAAGTGAAAGACCTGTACAGGCTACATTGCCAACCAAAGCATGTGTGAAGGCCTTGATTGTTACCACAGCATGTCACTGAAATCTCCATCTGTGCCAGACCTGCCACATGTCATGTCTTCTCTGACACCTCCAAGGTTCATCTGTATTCTCTCCTCTGTCATCACTGACATTATTAAACAAATCAAAGAAATCCTTTGGCCTTCTTCAGCAACTTGAATGGAATTACATGCAAATTATGGAGTGTCACAGATTCTTTAAAGGTGAATCTGAAGTCCTTCAAAAAGCTTACAAGCCCAGCTGGTGTCCTGACAATCCATTTACAGGCTTGATTCCTCTCCGTTCTATTAACTTACTTTATTCTTTTCATCTTCACCCGTAATAACTTCCTTTTTTCTTTTCTCTCTTTTTTTATCTGCACTATTTCTTCTTTGCTCAACTGACCCCTTCCCTAAACTTCTGGTTCTATTTTATTTCAATTATTGGCAAAATATTATGTGGAGAGTTTAGAACCATCTAGGGGTCTCTGCAAAGACAGATGAATGAGATTTTACATGCAAAATTGACCAGAGGCAGTGATCTTTCTTACTGTTTGTTCATAAGGACTTTTCTGTCTATGTGCACATTGTCATTCTTAGTACATAGCTATGACTATGCTTGTGTCTTATAAACCATAGGAAAAGAAGGATCTAAGTGAAGTCTAATGCCTGTGACAGTAGGTAGACAGAACTGAGCTCCAGAGGAGAGGTATAACAAAGTTGCGCATGGTGATTAAAGAGGTCAAAGAAGATCTATAAAGCTAGGTTTTACCACCCCAACTCAATTCCTTAACCAGCAGGTCGGGAAGTCTTGTATTTAGCTAAGAGGACTCCTGGTAGGCTGTGGATGCTTTGTGCTTGTCAATGTAGGGGCAGTATCCACTGTAGAGGACTTCTCTCCAGATTACGTACATCAGATGGGATTTTGCCATAGGGCATGTATAAGAGCAACGCTCCTGATGACTTGAAACAGAAGGGAATAATGCATATTTGTGTATATAATAGACTAATTCAGGTTGGAAGAGACGCTGGAATCATCTTATCCTATCTCCTGCTCAAAGCATGACTGTCTTTAAATTCACATCAGTTGCTCAGAGCCTTGTCCAGCTGATTGAAAATCTCCAAGGATGTAGATGCCAAAGTGTCTCTGAGCATCTGCTCTAGTGCTGCTTCATCCTCATGGGGAAGACTTTTCCTAATACCCACTTGGGCCCATTACAAGTGTTCTCCCACAAGCAAGAAGGCTAATGAGAACTGGGTTTCCTTTCTTTTTTTTTTTTTTTTTTTTAAGTGTCAGAAAGGGTACAAAGGCACGGAGATATGACTAATATGATCACACACTCTCGAAACAGTGTCCTAGGAGTCAATATCATAGTCATTTTCGTTTTTAGTTTTTGGGTTTTTTTTCCCTAGACAGTTTTAGAACTAAGAAAGAAGTATCTCTTACCTTCCTTAAGAGCATAGTAAGGTGACTATCTCTTCCAAAGTGATATGAGCATTATTTGAAACATTATTAGTTACACCAGCTCTCAGCTTTTGGACTACCATTATTTCAATTGAAACCCAGTGAAACATTGTGAGGCTTGTTTTATAGATGAGGAACGGCAAGTTTTCAAATGCTGCAGTGTGCATCAGTCAACTAAAGTCTCAATTTGACCTAATTCTTGCTAAACAATAGTGAGAGACCTAGAAGGATGCTTTTCAGCTTTTCATACCTGAAACTGCTGTTTATTGTTGCTGTGACACACAGCCGCTATGACAGTGTGTTTTTTTATTATTAACTTCCATATCAAAGCATTGAAAGCCATATTGATTTGTGTTCAGTTGTATTTGCAGCACAGTGAGTGTTCCTCAATTAAGTTTTATGAAAAAGTCTCACATCAGAAGAACAGTACAGAAGTATTGTCATGCTCTCAGGATGGCACCCCTAATAGAAACAATGATGAAGGGAGTGTCACTTAGTGCACATGAGGCCCCAGGAGTGTAAATGAGATCTGTAGCAGATTTTGCTCATTTAACTGATAGTTGCATCACCTGCTAAGACTGTACTGCAACAAAGACATGGACTGCTGAACTGCTGTGTCAGAGATTTTTAAATCAGCTTCA